CTGCCTTCATCGGCCTCCTCATGCATAAATGTATCATGATGTCATCAGTATGTTGCTTTTCTGTGCTGAGTTTTTTTTTTTTTCAACTTTCACAGGACACAGTGCGAGATATGATTTTTTTATCCCCTTCCCTAGTGTTTTTCTTTTTCTTATCTAAACAAAAAGGGCAGCGCCTCCCGAAGGCCGCAGCCTCAGACACCTCCATCTCCCCATGTCTGTTTGTTTATGTTTTCTTGAACGGGCTGTACTGAAATGTAATTTTGTTGTACTTCGGTGCAATGACAATAAAGCAGATTCTGATTGTGATACATGTGTTAACACTCGTTCATCTTGAGCAGAGACACAATAATTTACACCAAATGTAAAGACTATAATCACAGCATGGCTGAAGATTTGTTTTTTTCATGTTTTACATCAGGATTGGTTGCCCCAGGAATCCAGAAAATCTGGATTAGAACAGAACTGAAAGAGGCTGAGCTTCTAGAAGAGTTGGATAACATTACTGGTTAAAAAAAGCAAACCTCAAAGTACCATCTCACGAGTTCATCCCAGCAGTGTTGGGAAGGCTTCTTACATCTCAGTGGGAATTCCTGGCCGTGTGCTTTGTTGTGTTGGACAGGACTCCACTCAGACTGAACATTTAAAGCTTTTGTTGGCAGCAGTTAATCAAGAAGAGTAATTCTTTCAGTCCATTATAGTTATTCATTCAGTCCACAATCAAGCTTAACTAATGATCCAGTTTTATGACTGCAGCCCTTCCCGTCTGTTTTACACTGCAGTCAGTCAGGCTTGGAACAAGTACTGATCAATAAACACTGAGAGCTGTCAGAGAAATTATCTCTCAGTTCTAGGCATGAATCCAAAACCATATCCCTGCACGGTGTGTAGCTTTACATCTGTTTTACCGGAAGTCTAGGGTTTGGCAGCTTACCAAATAGTTGCTTTCTTTATCTGGATGCAGCATTTTTTTTCATTCAACCTTTATTTAGACAGGTAAATCCCATTGAGCCTCGAGGACTCATTTACAAGAGAAACCTGATTTCAACAAAGAATGACGACAACAATGGACAACAGTGACAACAGTGACAACAATAAACAATTATAAAAAGTCATAATCCAGTTTTTTTTTTTTTTTAAACAAATAGGATGGCTAAAAAAAGTAAAAAAATAAATAAATAATAAAACAGCTAGATTCTAAGGCGAATTTAGAAAACTAAAAACAGGAACATGTCTGCATTGGTCCTTGCCAGGAGTCCAACAGATTCTTAAAGCCACTTAGAGAGGACAAGGTCGAGAGCTTCAAATCTTTTTGTAAGGTATTCCAGGAAACAGGAGCGGAGTAGGAGAAGGCCATTTTGCCTAGCTCAGTCCTCACTGAGGGAACACTGCAGGTAATAATGTCCTGAGAGCGCACGCCGTAGCTGCACTCACGCAGAGACATGTAGGAGGAGATGTATGAAGACAGCAGACCAAGAAGTGATTTAAAGATGAAAATGTACCAGTGAGAGAGTCTGCATGAAGTTAATGATGTCCAGTTAACCAGTGAATACAGGGTGCAGTGGTGGGTACGATAATCACAGCCAGTTATGAATCTTAGTGCACCATGATAGACAGTATCCAACATCGGCAGGGTTCTTGTAGGAGTGTTTATGTAAATAATGTCACTGTAATCAATGGAGGGAAGGAAAGTCACAGATACAAGGCGTTTCCTAGCATTTAGGGTTAGACAGGATCTGCTTCTGGAAAAAGAAACCCAGTTTAACTTTCAGTTTCTTTATCAAGTTTTCCACATGAAGCTTAAAAGAGAGATGTGGGTCGACCAAGATACCCAAATATTTATAGAAATCAACAAACTCAATGGGGACACCATTTGAGGATAAAATCGGAGGAAGAACTGCTGGGACCAACTTCCTATTTGAAAAAAGCATCCCTTTGGTTTTGTTGGCATTTAGGACAAGTTTGAGGCGAAGCAAATCAGTCCGGATGATGTTGAATGCAGATTTCAAAAGCTGGAAAGCCTTAGCAACAGTTTTAGCTTGACAATAAACAACTGTGTCATCAGCATAGAAATGTATGGATGCATTAGGGATGTTTTTACCTACATCATGTATGTAGATTGTAAAGAGGGTGGGTCCTAAGACTGAGCCTTGTGGTACACCATTGTTGACTGTTAAATAACTGGAGGAAGTACCATTATGTTGAACACATTGCCTCCGGTCTGAGAGATAGTTGGCGAACCAACCAATGGTGTGTTCTGAGAAACCGATTTCTGAGAGTTTATGACACAAGATGTTATGATCCACAGTGTCAAAAGCTTTAGACAGGTCGAAGAAAAGTGCAGCACAATAATCCTTAGCATCCAGTGCTTCAACAACGTCATTAAGAACCTTCAGTGAAGCAGTGGTTGTGCTGTGTTGCTTCCTGAAACCAGATTGATGGAGAGGTAAGATGTTAAATGAGTCCAGGTAATTTTTGATTTGAGAGTTTATCAGTTTTTCTAGAACCTTGGCTAAAATGCAGAGTTTAGAGATTGTCCGATAGTTGTTCAGTGAGGTGGGGTCACCTCCCTTCAGCAAAGGAAGAACAAAGGCTGTTTTCCAAGTGTCTGGGATGGAGTTTTGTCTTATGGAGAGATTGAAGATGTGGGTCACAGGGACTGTGATAATATGAGCAGCCAGCCTTAAAAAATAAGGTGGAAGTTCATCTGGACCTGCAGATTTTTTAGGATCAAGATCTTTTAACTGTTTATTAACCTCATTGACTGAGAAGGGAGAAAAAGAGAAGCTGTGATTAACTGAGGGTTGACTTGTAGGAGGGATTTGATTTGTAGAAGTTTGGTTATTAAGTGAAGTGGCTGATTTTCCAGCTGCATGGATTATGCAGAGATATGGGTGATTATTTCTTTCTGCATTGTAAAAATGATGAAATCACAATCAAACTCACAATAATAAAAAAGTTTACATGCATTTTCCATTGTCTCATCTAAATATGTTGAGGACCCCAATAAATGCAAAGTCAATGTTTTTCGGTGTGCCCAAAGCTGAAAATGGAGCGTGTCTCAGCACAAATTTCTGTGTGGTAGACAACAGTAAAAGTCAAAGCAGATAGGAGAATGAGGAATTGATAATTTCTCTAATGTGCTGACAACCTGTTATAGGCAAATGGACATACATTGCTATTGTTTGTCTTGCAGAATGTGCTTCCTCTGATGACTATAAAATGCGATTAATTCAACAATGAGCCTGCTAAGCCATCAGCTGAAAGAATAGATAAATGTGTAAGAATCTCCGTAAATATCCTGATGCATGCTCAATAATCCAGGTAGAAAAATCAAAAAAAGTTCAATCTGTTCCTTTGTACATTCAAAAAAACAAAAAAACAAAGCAAAAACAAATGTAGATATGTTTCGTCGTTCATCAGAAAGACTTCCTGTCTGAGGTGAGGTGAGACTGAGCTGAATACAGCACCTCAGACTGAGGAAGTTTTTCGGATGAAAGACGAAACGTATCTACATTTTTTTTTGCTTTGTTTTGTTTTTTTGAATGTCCAGAGGACCAGATTGAACTTTTTTGGAATCTCCATAAATCTTCCTTTTACATTCGTGTTCTGCACAGACGGTTCGGACAACTTTATATCTGAAAGATAACAGACACATGCCAAGGTTCATCATAGGGTGTAATCTATTTACAACAGGTAAAACATGACTCTTGTTATCAGAAAACACCTCCACTAATCTAACAAAGTAAAGTCAGGTCGTCTGAACGTATTCTTCTTGTTGAAACATTTAGTCTTTTATCCAAAAGACTTCATTAGTCTGATCAGCTGCAACAAACTCAGTCTTAAAAGCTTAAAAACTGAGTTTATTGCAGCTCCTCAATCGGGTGTTTCTTTCTTGAAGGGATTTTTAACAATTTTCATTAGAAAAATCAAAACAAATATGTACTTGTTTTTAGTATTTTGTTTTATAAGGCACCTTGATTTTGAAACCATTAGTGAAAAGGCCAGACTTCAGGGGTATCTGAGGCAGGCTTGAAACACAAGAGTCAGGGTGGCTTCTGAGTAATACCAGATGGCTAGGCCTCAGACTGACGAAGCCTCTTGGATAAGGGGCGAAATGTTTCTTTTTAACAAAAAAAACGAAGTCCAGATGACATGATTCAACCTTTTTTGTTGTCACCTTGATTTTATTGTTTTATTACATTACTTTTTATTTTAATTGAACTGTATTATTGTTGTTTATATGTTGTCTGTCTAAAACAGGTCTTTTGAAAAGGAGTCCTCGTGACTCAATTAGACCAACCTGTATAAATAAAGGTTGAATGAATTATTGAGCACGGATACCTGCACTCAACTGTACATCTGTTGCATTCAATGATATAGGAATTTTTATAATTATAAACATGAACGAAAATTATGATGCAGTTGCGGTACTATATTACAATGTGTTGTTTTAGCTATGGATATAATTAAATATATTGACAAAAATAACAAAAAACTGTAACGTTTTCATTTGCTACTGTATTAGTTGCTGTTTACTTGTGTTTCAAATAGCCATAAGGTTATTTTTTTAAGTAATTTTTTATGAATACTGTACTTAGCTCATAGGACCTTCTCTGAATACGAATCACAGTTGTTAAGTTCCGGTGAGCAAAATAAATAAATTAATTAATAAATAAAAAGTGCCCTAGACATGAGGTGTTCACTTTTTTTCAGCTGTAATTGAACGCAGCACGGTTGCTTACAGGAAGTCTTGAAACTTTTTCAACATTGTGACAAACTTGTTGTCCGCAGGTTTTTCTTTTAGCGCGCGCTTCTGCAGTCTGCCTGTGTAGGAGGATAGTGACGATGGTGTGAAAAGGCTGAAGTTAATCACGACGGTGTTTTTTTCTTTAACAGACGCGGAGGAGCAGAGAGGAAGGTGGGTGTCTGCGTCAGACCGCCGTTAGTTGACAGGCCAGATTAGAGCTCCAACGTTTCTGTCTCCGGCGGCTCCGGGAGTCGACATCAAAAATGTGGGAGCAAGACGAGTTCGCTAAACACTGGAGGAGCGAGTTTCCGGACGGAGATGTACCCCGAATGGACCTGAACTCCGTGGAGGACATCGAGTCTGAGCTGGAGAAATGTAAATCCAACATGAAGAGGCTCCAGAAGGCTCTGGCGGAGGAGAAATTCAAGGTGATTTACCTGCAGACCACCGTGACTCAACGGAAGAGGAGCGAGCCGGAAAAGCTCGGAGCCCGAGAAGAAAACTTGAACGAACCTTTAGTGTCCTCAATGATGGGGGACATTAGAAAACCGCTGCGGAGGGACGATGGAGGCGGCGGGGAGAAGGTGGTGTCCGACCCGGCGGTCTTGTTGAAGCCCCACGCAGCAGTTAGCACCCCGGGAGCTTTCAGCGCCTTCAGCCGAGAACGGGGCCGCTTCAGCGGCAGGACGGGTAAGCCCGTCCCCATCCCTGTCCCGCCGCCGAACTCCGGCTTCGGGCGGGGGGACACCGCCAAGAAGCCCCCCGCCGCCGCCCCCCGGGTGGTTGACATCGAGGAGGACAGCGACAGAGAATACGAGGACGCGGAGCTGAATGAGACTTTCGTCAGGAATAACTTGTTGACCCCGAACACCACGGGCAGGAACGGGCAGAGGACGACCAGCTACGGCCGGGGGCCCATCCGCCACAGCCGGGACTTTGACTCGGGAGAGGACGGCAGGCTGTCCCCGCAGGCGCCCCGCAGACTGTCCCCGGGCTCCCGGTGCAGCACACCGGAGAGGAGGAGTGACGGCTACCTGAGCTCCGACCATGAAGACTCCTCTTCTGCAGGTAATGGCTAACTCCTGCTGGCATTAGGAGTACAATAATTATTTATATAAAAACTTTGTTCTGTGAAGCCCTGAAGACAATTATTATAAACTAGGCTGACAACGTGGTGACATTTTAAAACCTATAGAAGAAGAGAAAAGAGAGCCAAGATGAAGCTGCTTGCATTATGGTCAGCATGGTTACCACACACACACCTGTGTCTGTCACTCCCTGACATCACTGTTCATAAGACAAGGCAGGCTGTAAAAGGCAGAGTAGAAATTAAGCCTCAAATTGCCAATAGTAGAAATTGGTCAAATTGAAAAAAGTTCTCAACAGCACATGTTTAACATGTTCTCAACAGTGTGCAGTGTTTTATGTAGAAGAGGATATTAGAAATGGTTAATGGACTGTACTTATGTAGTGCCTTTCTATCTTGTGAAGATACTCTAAGAGCTTTACAACACGTGCCCTCATTTATACATTCACTATCATTCACTCTACTGTACCAATAATAATCGGTGCTTTGTCACATTCATACACTGATGGGACACATCAGAGGCAATGAGGGGTTCAGTGTCTTGCCCAGGGACACTTGGGCATGCGACTGCTGGTGGAATCGAACCCCCAATTCTTGCATTGGAGGATGACTGCTCTAACCACTCAGCCACAGCTGCCCCAATCTAAAAAGACGCTTCCAGTTTTGAGGAAAATTATTTATATACTGTAGCGCCAAGTCACAACAGAAGTTATCTCAGGGCACTGAACAGAAACATTTGCATACATAAAAATGCAATTAGTAGCATTATATGTAATTTGTAATTTTGTTGTGCTTCAGTGCAATGACAATAAAGTTGATTCTGATTATTTATCTAAGGACTGAGCTCGGATCCATCCATCCATCCATCCATTATCTTTACTGCTTATTCCATTTTGGGTCACGGGGGTCGCCAGTGCCCATGTCCAGCAATCACTGTGCGAGGGGCAGGGTACACCCTGGACATGTCTCCAGTTCATCACAGGGACACATAGAGACAAACAGCCATTCACTCTCTCACTCACACCTAGGGACAATTTAGCGTTATCAATCAGCCTAACATGCATGTTTTTGGTCTGTGGGAGGAAACCGGAGCACCCGGAGAAAACCCACGCATGCACGGAGAGAACATGCAAACTCCACCCAGAAAGGCCCCTGGACCGGGGTTTGAACCAAGGACCTGCTCGCTGAGAGGCAGCAGCTCTACCAGTTGCGCCACCGTGCTGCCCAGCTCGGATACAATGGAAGTCAATGAGGGTTTGAATGTGTGCACTCTTGAGAGATGTGAGAGAAAATTATTAGTCCTATAAGGGTAAGAGACAGGGCAACCGTAATAGAAGTTTAAAGTTTTGTAGAGACTGCAGATCCTTTGGGAAGTGTGATCAGCTGTAAAATTATGGTGACATCATCACCCTCCAAGCTGAACACTCCATTGTAAAATCCTTAAAAGTCTATCCATCCATTATCTTTTACCCGTTTATTCCATTTTGGGTCACGGGGGTCACCGGTGCCCATGTCCAGCAATCACTGTGCGAGGGACGGGATCCTTACAAGTCATAAAACTTTAATTATGCATGTGTGAAAACAATAAAATTAATCCAAATGCCTGTTCAGTCAGGCAAAGTTTGACATTCTACAACCCGTTGAAACTATTATTGATGCTTCTAATGTGAAGCGTGGCTGAGCCACAGAGCTACAAAGATAACTGGGTTTGCTCAGCCGTTTTGCCCAAATTTCTTTCTTTGAATATGAAATATTGAAAATTTTAAAATCTTTGAAAATATTCATTATTTTGTTTGTGAAATTCAACCAAGCTAAATTTTGCAAAGCTACCAAAAGTCTGGGTGCACTATATAAAACTGAGCTGCATGTTTTCATGCACTTTTAGTGTTTTTTGAAAACTGTGGGAAGAACAGCTAATTGAAAGTTGCAATGGAAGCAGACTAATAACAACCAAATACATATAGAAACACCCGTAATAAACTATTTGGTGTTATATGACTTTCATGGCAAACACATTGACACAGCTGTGACGTGTGCAACACTCATCCCAAATCTTAAATTGTAAAAAGTCAAAAAGGCTCAGCTTGAGTTACTGATTTTTAAATGTGGTAAATGCCTTTTCATTCTGATCTTAATAAAACAGTCTAACCATGTTCATTCTAAATTTATTAAAATAATTAAAAAATCTGTCTTAGTGCTTTTCTCAGCAAAGCAAACCCTAAATGTCCTTTGATGCACCCATTAACCATTTAGATGTATAATTAATTTCCCTGCAGTTAAATGCACTGTTTTAAAACACACATGGAAGTAAAAGCTGCTTGATTAACAGTACTTTGTGTCTTTGCCTTGAATACCTTTAACATTTGGGCTGAGCATCATGATGCACACTACTGAAGTCTGGTTTGGACCCAACTCAAAGTGAGCTACAGCCTCTCAGTATTTCTGTACCTGGAAGTGACAAGAGTCTGCAGCAGCACAAGCATTCTCAGGTTTGTGCTCAACAGAATATAGTAAGCAGCAGCTGCAGATCAAGTCATTTCCTTTGTGAGGACTTCCTAGTTTCAGATTGTGTGTTTTTCGTTAGTTTTGGTGTTTGCCTCAGAGTTGACCCACAGTTTACTCAGTGACCATGTTTTGTTTCTGTTGTTGCTGCTGTTCCGCTGGTTTATGTTGTATTTTCTTTACGTGAGCTCGTGTGCTTTAGGCCTTCTTATCTGGCTACATGCTTTAGAAGTTGTGGTAAGAATTTTGGAATTTGAAACATCTGTTTCAGGAGTCTCGTTATTGGCTGATGTTAATGAAATGCATTTTTGTTTAAAAATGTGTCTCATAAATGCTTTTTATTCTTTTGCAACCTATAATTTGAGTCAAAGCCCCCTTACTCTCCTGTTGCTGTCAGATGAGTGCTGGATGGTGTCATATCCTGTCAGTGTGGTGTTAGGTTAAATACCACACAAACTGCCAAATAAAATACCACTGAACGCAACTGCAAAGTGCGTTTGATGCTCTGTCGAAAACACAAGAATCAAGAGATTGGACCGGTTCTGCCTGATTCAATGGATAAATTCAAACAAATAAAATAAAATTCACAAACTGAGAAGAAAACAATCAAAATGGTGTTCAGGACATCATGTAAATGCAGTTTTTATTGCAGTCACTCATTGAAATAAAAACTCAAGATGACTTGAAACACAGTAACATAATTTCTCTAAGAAAAAACAATGATGTGAAAAGTTAATAAGAAAAGGTTTATTTGCACCTAACCAGCCCTACAGGTCATTCTCGCCTGTTTCATTATGACTCTTTGTTTTTAGATAATTGGAAATGGACTTTGTTTGTTAATAGCAGAATTTACTTCAGTATTACATTCTGTTTCAATGTTATTAGGTTCCATTCATACAACATGTCGCTGGGATTTGTAGCTGTGAAATTATAATACACATTCTGCATATTCTGCTGCAGTAGTGTAATGTAGACATTTATTTGGGGGAAGAAATACCATGAAAGGAGCATAAACTTGTAATCATGTGACTTTCTTTTTTAAACAAAGTATTTTTATAATTTTTTTCAAATTTAAACACACAAACAAGAAACTTAAAAAAAGCATAAAATGCCCCCTCCCCACCACTTCTGTCCCACCCCGGATCAGTCAAACACACGTATACAAATTAAACAGGCATTGACATACATTCTACATACAACATAAAGGGCCACCAAGTGTCCCAAAATATTTTTACAGAACCTCTTAGCGTGTAACTTATTTTTGCCAAATGGATATGGTATATCACCTCTCTTACCCAATGTACATACACCGGGGGGTGTGAGTCCTCCTTCCATTTTCACAAAATTATCCTCCTGGCCAAAAGAGAGCCAAAGGCAATCATATCCTCGCATTTGCTGAAGGATGCATCCCCAGGGACCACCCCGAACAGTTCGATGAGTGGTGATGGGTGTAGTTTTACCATATATTCCTGAGAAGGTGCCAAATATAGATTGCCAAAATGTCTGCAGTTTGGGACTGGTCCAGAGTGTAGCTGGAGTTTGTTTGCAACAATTGCATGCTAGGTCCAGGTCGGCCTTGATCTTGGACAGTTTGTCTTTGAACCAGTGCAGTCTGTGCACTACCTTGAATTGAATTGCAGCATGTCTCAGTGCCTTTCTTTTTTAATTGCTTTATACCATAAAAGGGAGATCATCATGTCCGTGTTTTTTATTTATTTTGATTTATTCGTCGGTTAGCAAAATATTTAATTACATGTATGTTAATGATGGATTTTGTTGAAATGTTTAAATAGTCGTCCATGGATGTACATCGAAAATATATTATCTTTAGGAGTCAACCTGATTCAAAATGGCTGCCACAGCTGATTTACCTGAGCAAACACAAACATGCCTATAACAGTCAGTTTTACAGACACCTATCCACAATTTGACGTGGTAGTAGCTGAGAGTCAACTTGTACTCCAAGCACTAACAGATCATGATAGATTTTTGCTTAAAAACTTGGCATGTTGGCAGATGATGTATAGCTCTTCAAGAAATGCTGCTTTGATTCATTTTTTAGAGGATTAAGGATTAATGATAAAGTACTTTATGCAGATGATATTCTAATGACTCAGTCACTGACATCATCAGGATGCCCACAACGGTTTGTGTTCATGCCCATAACTAAGTATAAACTGGTGATCCGTTGGGCAATTGAATGTTTTCTAGTTTGAGGGCTGTAAAGCTTTATAAACACAGGAAATCATATGAGAACTAATCCAGTCTGCCTTTGTACTACTAATGCTACAGTGTTATTTTGAGACTTTCTTTAAAAAAGATTGACAGAGATTGTCTGTAACTACGTGAGTCAGCTGACTGACTAACATAAACACGAGGATAGATTGAGGAAGGCTTTTACAGCAGACTGAACTTGTTCTGTGACACATAAACTCCCCTGTCCATTTTTAACCTCAGAGGATTATTGTTGGCTTTATTT